TACATACGTTGACGGACGATTGAGAAGTTCTAAGCAATCCATTTACGGAGAACGGCATCATGCTTTTGACATCAAAAACACTGAAAACGTTTTCTGCGATAAATTGTTTTCCCCCGCTTCATAAAAAATATGATGTACAAGTAGATAGTAGATTGTAGATGTTTGAAGAAAATTATATAATGCTGTTGAAACATTCACTCTTTCATTGTAGAATATTGTGATATGTCAAATGCGACAAACATCATAAAAAATATAATCGCGCACAATCTTAAAACTTTGAATTATTATTGTTTGTACGCATGCATTATATTATCATTATTATAAATTAAGCTTCTGAATTGTAAACCGTCAACAATCACTGGGTCCAATCACTGTGCTTCGGATCTTGATTAAATTATATTGACGGACGAGCGAATAATATTATTAGGCATCAGGGAAGGTGACGTGGCCTGAGCAAAAATCGTATCAACTATGGAGTAATGTAATATAATACTTGTTGATTTCAATAGTGTACTCAGTGTACTAGTGTTCATTTCGATTGAAAAAAAATGTGAAGGTGAAAATAACAATTTATCATAAAATATACATATGTTGTTATTACTCACAAAAGATACACTTGCTGACATGGTGCTGCAGCTGCTGCAGTTTGCATTATGGAATAGTAAATTTAAAAAGTAATTAGTACTTAGGTACACAAAGTTAAACAACTCAAAATTTACTCAATAAAATTTTGATACGTCAACACTTTTGAAACGATTATCTGCAAAACAATAAATTTACATTGGAGAGGCGGGTAGTAATCGAAAAAATAGAGGTTTCTTATCTGCAGGACACTCCTTGAATAATACAAAATATCTCAAGAATTTAAAAATATTGTCTTTCATCTTTAAGTATGTAATACTTGGCAAATCGCTCTGTATATTAATGTATTAATTGATTGATTGCTGTTTTCATGCGTCTTAGAAGATATTTGTGTATACATAGTAAGTCGTTCAAAAGAGATCGAGACAATTAATTCGTTTTAAAATTTTAGAGAAAAAATGAACAGATAAAACTTTACGAAAAAAAAACATGATTTTATCACAGTGCTTTGCATTGACGATGGTCTTGGTAAATGGTTTCTGAAGGAACAGGAGTTCCCATATCATTATTTTCTTCTTTGATAGTAAACGATAAAACCGTTTTACGGAGGAGCAGTGAATAACGAATAGAGGACAATAATGTCCATATTATCATAACGTTGAAAAACTATAAGAATGTTGACAATAATAAACGTCTGTGTATGACACACGAGAAAAATTATGAAAACCCTTAAAATGTAGTTACAATAGAGACTAAAATGAAAACTAATGCTTTCTATGAGTAAAATAATTGATAATATTTGAATTTTTTTTATTCCACCAATGAATTTTTACATTTTAATAAAACTATATTTATAACATTCAATCGTAGTTATTTAGTTACATAGATGAAGTTAAATTCGATTTATCAGCATTTAATTTAAAACAATAATAATTATAAGTTATGATATATAACCAAAATATTCCAAAATTATAACATTAAGTAAAATAGAAAACTGATACCTATAATGAAATATTGTTTTTATTTAAAAGATAATGGCTTTGATTTTTAAAAGCTATTTATCATTTTAAAAAGAATACTATGTTGTGAAAAACTATCCACTAATATTTATTACAAAACTGTATGCATGATTAATCAAGCTTTGTTTCATCTATGTTAAAAAAAAAAACACAAATACCAGGTAGAACATTTTATACCGATTCGTAATATTTGTAGTACAAGTTCTAGAATTCCATTAAATCCAAAACTTGTAAAAGCTCAAACACAACGATTTGCCTGAGCTATTACAACAGTCGTTTGTTGTTACAATCACAAGAAATCAAGATCAAAAAAAAAAAAAAAAAAATTGAACAAATTAAAAGCGAATAAAACATAATGAAGGACGCCACTATTGTTTAAATTCAAACTCAGACGAATCGTCGCCTATTATAAAACCCCAGCCATAAACTTATATTGAAATATTATACGACGTGCTTTTTCATACTAGGAAATACCACTAAAATTGACTCAACACTCAAGTGCTATTGAAGCACACACTTTTCGTCATTAAAGTACAAGGGGCCGTCAAAAATAGCTTAATGTTAATTACGAAACTACCATTTCAAAGTAAAAATGTAATATTTTTGCAATGGTTTTTTGCTTTGATGCCTTTATATTTTTAAAAGAGATGTAACGCCGTTTTTTTTCTACAACCCAAGTTTTCCCATTTTCACGGAAACAAGGCCTATTTTTAATTAGATATTCTTTTATCGTTGTATTACCCGTCTACACCTCCAGAATGAAATTGTTCGTACTTCGTAGCATATAGATATAATATTCTTTTATAACATACAGTGAGATAATTTATTTGAAAGTCAGTAGTTCAAATTTTAAAATATAATGCAGGTATATTGTAATGGAGTTATATTCAATTTAATATAACTAATAGTTTATATTTTACAATGATCTAAAAAAGTGATTTCAAAAAACGCTCAAAATGTCAACGAGTTCTTTAACACCTTATATTGGATTAATATTAGTTAGCAAGTATAAGAACTATATCAATTTATAGTAAAATACTCTGTATTTTCAAAAATTCAAGTCTCATTATAATTCATTAAAAATTAAATTAATTTAAAAAAAAAACCCCAAGAATATCTTCATTATATTTAGAATAAGAGCTACCGACACTTCAATTACTTAAAATAATACATTCAACTATATACATACAAACGAGTTTCCTCGATAAATTAATTTAACAAATACCGGACATACAATATTGAAGTTTATAACAAATTGTCTAGTTTTTGTTAAAGGTCCGGTTATATTAATGTACAAAACAAATTAAAACGTTTAGTTCCTAGTTCCTACCTACTAAATAATAGTAACTATTAAGTTTTGTTGTTTTGTAAGATAGATTTTAATTTAGAATAAACTCAAATCACATTAATTTGATTAGCAAATCAACGAAAGGTTGTTAAAACCATTTCATCTAAAATCTTGTTGATTAACAGACTGTTAAAATATTGTTATAATATTATGATACTTGACAAAATATATACATTTTACATTGAAAACTAATGTAAACTGTCAAAGTTGCCATATTTTTGAGTTGAGATGGTAAGAATGTATTATTAACGAATATTATTTGAGCATAATAAATTAATTGAACCATATTACCTTTGTGTTTCTTATAGTAATCAGTGAACTACCTACAATTAATTTAAATGGTATCTGAATGGGGATATAGTGTTAAACACAGCTATAACGCAAACATAATTATTTTTCTTTAATTATATTTTATGACAACAAATTGTAATTTTAAAACAATTTAATTTATGTGTACAACTTGTCATTTGCAGGAGAGTCCCCCCTGCAGTAGTAGGACCCTGCATCAATGTCACGTCATATTACGCTCACAACAAATTGAGTAAGTCTTTTCATAATGGGCTTAAATTTCAATTTAACTTGCTTTCAATGGAAGATATATATATATAATATATTTTGACACGTTGTCAATGAAAAAGTAAAATAACAAAAACCGAAATTTATCTACCTGTGATTAAATTGAGCGCAACACGCTTCCGTCAATGGTATACTATTCCTCCTTCCCACCACAAACGATACGACGGCCGACACCCGTTTCTGCCAAAACAAGTTGTTTGCATAATATCTAACTATATCGACTTCCCTTCAAATTAATATTTTAACTGAGAAATAAATGCAATCATTATTGTATTACCAACATAGTTCAATGTGATGGGCAATAGAGTACTTCGGCATTTATGTTTATAGTTTGTATACAGTATAGGAACAAATACAAATAAGTTGCCAATATAAGACATTACCAAATAATTAATATTTATGAATTGTATTTTATTAGATTATTTTAGAAGAAATCGATTTACAATAACAAAATATAATTTATTTTTGTGTGGCTCCAGTATAGGTTTTAATAAAAATAAACTTTGGTAAAACAAGATAGATTGAGAGTTATCAATCGGTACATATTGGCCCTTAATCCTTATATAACTATAGCGGGAAAGGTATATGGTTTTGGTAGAAAAGCTTATTTTACCTTTTAAACTATCATAATTCATCAGAAGTATGACAGTAATTGTGAAATTATTAACTATACATAATATTAATTAAATATGAAAGAAAAAAATATCACAGGGCTGTATTCTACTTGTTACTATGATTTGCTACTGCAGTGTGTGGTTAACATTTGATCAGTTCATCTTTTCCTTTTGTGCGTCTTACTAATACAACATAAGAAGGAGGAAATCCCAACTGCTTTACAAATAATCGTGACATAAACATTTGCCTGATTAAAATTCCTTACTATTCTGTGTATAATAATCGTTCAAAGAAATCAAACGCTGACGAATAGAATAATCACAAGAATGAATCTTACTGAACGTTTTACTTTTAAGTCAAGTGAAATTGTAAAGAAAACATAATGTTATTCAAGACAGTATAAACTTAAAAAAATAATAATGACAAACTGCACCATCTACTGTATCGTTGAAAATAATAATATTTTGTAGTACTCGCGATACCGATTATTAAACGAAGACGGCCGGAAGAAGCTTAAAACGCCTCTTCCCCGGAATGCACAATAATAATAGGAACTGCAGTAATGCAATATTGATTTAAATTTAAAAAAACTTCTTTTCAAAATATTTGGCACCATTGCCAGATGATTTGGTTACGAGTCGATGAAAATAGTAAAAGGAAATATATATTACGACATGTAGGTAGAAAGCTTTTTTTTTAGAAATGTAACAATGTAATATTAATTTGATGATAATATGATAATATTGTGGTTTTGACACATTCGATGTGCGATCGAAGTCGATGATTACAGCCCGAGTAAAATAAAGTAGAAATTAGAAATATTTTATAATTATATAGTGTTACAATAGAGGAATTCTTACTTTTTTCAAATCCTTTCCCGAGTCACTCCGGTCGTCTGCCAAGTATTTACGCTTGTTTGTAATGGGCTCTTCGTCGGTCTGGAAAAAAAAAACAAGATGATAAAATGAGACAGTAAAAAGAGACTCAAAGAAATATATATTATTTTTTTCTAAAAGTCAGAGGGCCTTCCTGCGCGCACGCGCACACGCTATAAATATGAAAAACGTCCATTGAAATATAGACACTCGACAAAACCCCGGTGTCTGACACTTGAACATTGCGACTTTGGGTTCAAAACTATACTTCTAGGTATTATTATTTTATTTTCATCATTTTTATTATTATACGTGCCAACAGACCTCGATGACGAGAGAATGCCTTTCATTTGCACACCGAGTCTTCAATTATAATACGTTTTCTATGATAATATAATATATGAGGATGATAAAAAATCTCAAGGTGGGTGTCGAATTATAAATATATAGAATTAATAGTTGTAACTTGTATTTTTATTATGTTTATTAAAATAGTAATTAGCTGGAATTAAAACTGTATATACATTTAATATTTTATTTTATGAAATCAGGTTTTTTTTTCATTTCTAGTAAATCACTAATATCGTAATAATCTAGTTTCATTTTTTAAAATAATAAATGTACTTAAGAGTGATACAATAAGGAAATCATGCCACTTAAATATGTAGGTGATTATATGTCGCTACAAAGTAATTATTTAGGAAAATAGAAGAGGAGATGGAAGTGCCAAATGATGGCGACATTACTTAAGTGTGCATTAAGGAGACAAAAGGTCCCTGCTCCAAAAATATTTTTACTCTAATTCTCTTTAAATCCCGAGCTGAACAAAGAATGTATTGGTAATGTTATTGCTTTTTTTATTTCAGAGGTCATATTTTGGAGCAAAAAAATTGCTTTTTGAAATATTTTTATGTATGTTGAATGTGGTTATGAGATAGAATACAAATACTGCACTGACATGCACTTAAACATTTCAAAAATTAAAAATAAAACGTTCTCCTAAATTAGATAAATTCTTTGCTCAAATAGTTCGTATATATTTGAGCAACTACATTTATTTTGATATCACATCAAAATTATTAACTCTCGTTTAGTTGATAAAAAAAAAAACTTTTTCGTAAGTTCACCAAAAGAGGAAAATTATGTTTTTTCCATTATTATACGCCATAAACAATATTTAGTAGAAAGAAAAGTCAACTTTTTGTGTGTCATAATAATTTCTTTAGAAATTATAAACTGTACATTCACCATTTGGCATTTCAGTGAAGTCCCAGACATAAATGCTTTTATATTGGTTGAAAACTTTACTGGTGAAAGGTTTGCTGTATACAAATATTTCTATAAAAACTTGTATTTTAAGATAAACAATTGTGAACAATATTGATAGCCTTAAAATGTAGTTGTTATTTGGAAATCTGTAAGTTCCCCTTTCATTATTCAAATCTGTTAATCTCGATCTTAAGTTTATTTTACTAATTACTAGAGTTTTTTAAAAAGTTTTTGGCACAACGAAATGAATTAATTAATTAACCGAAGATAATAACAGTAAACTGTATACTAAAATAACTCAAAATGAAAATACTCTAAAAATATAGGTACCTTCGTGTGTAATGCAGTCGTTAAAAAAATTAAGGAAACATTAACGAAAATGCTAAAATAAAAGTAGGTAGGTACCTAAAAACAAAAAAGCTTATAACACATAATGCAACTTTAATAAAAACAGACAATATACATGCGAGGTAAAAGTTTTAAATTGGATTTTATATTCGCATGAATAAATAAAAAACAAAAAAAATGAGACGGTTTGGATTGTTTAATTATACTCATCATCTGCACTCGTTTCGAATATCATAAACGATAAACAATTTTTAGGTTGTACCTATTGTATATTTTATAGAAACACGAAACATATTATTCTTATTGCATTTCGTACCCGTTGTTACTAAAGAACAATATTTTAAATAAATTGGAAATGTTTCCGATGTAGCTCATTGCTCCCATTGAAACTTAATGAAACATAACTGCACAAGAGCATCGCGTATTATACAGGTAAATTCAATTTTTTTATTTCGTTGTAAGTGATATTATATGAAATACGATTTTGTGCATAGATAAGTATAATAATACAGTACAAAAAAATGTATATTGCAAACTTTTTATAATAACATCATTGTACTGCTTCTGTTCCAATCAGTGATTTTGATCAAGTCTCGTAAAATCACAGAAACGCAAAACATTATATTATTATATAATACCAATATCAGCTACCATTGTAGTAAGTCCGGTTATCGGGGTGCGAATGTTCGACTGTTAGAAGTAATAAGTATATTATTTTGTTATAATAGGTTCCTATCAACGATTAGCGTGTAAATTAATTTTTTTTTCATCGCTTGTCGTTTTGATGCAAATAACCACTATTTGGGGTTATCAATGAAAAAATATAAAGACATTGTCATCTACTTGCAGGCTGCAACTACTCCTGCATCACTAGCCTATAATATGCTTAATGTAAGTTTACAACAATTGGAAAACAAGGTCACACCCATCTATAATATTGGTGTATATGTTACGGGCAAAGTGGAAAATTCGGGCAATGTATACAATGCCCGGGCATTGTACACAGTGACCGGGCATTGTATACAATGTCCGAGGTATATTGGGCAATGTAAATTGTGAAGTATTTATACAAATAATCTGCATAATATATTTTGTTAGATGATAATGATAAACTAATATGAATTTATAATCGACATCTGATTGTGTTTGCATGTTGATCAAGTCAATTTCACAGCGAGAATTCATTTTAGAAGATATGATTGGTTTTACAACCAACCCTTTTTTTTAGCTGTACTTCCCTTCTTTTTACACGATTCGCAATTATTTAAGTATACCATTATTACATCTCTAGTTATATTTTTTTACTTTTTATTAATCTCGTGTTCCATTCTATTTCTACCTCCATGTCCAATTGACAAATGAACTTCATGTATAATATCATATAACTGAACATTATGCACATAATATTTTATTGCATTACCTTTAAATACATTTAAAATTTAATTGATAGAAAAAAAATTATAATACTCATATATAAATAACCATATAAACGAGTATAATAATTATTAGTATATAATATCATTGATTAGGTAAAATAATATCATGCAGATTATTTGTATAAATACTTCACAATTTACATTGCCCAATATACCTCGGACATTGTATACAATGCCCGGTCACTGTGTACAATGCCCGGACATTGTATACATTGCCCGAATTTTCCACTTTGCCCGTAACATATATATTAGAAACTAATTATTTCAAAAACTACTAACGAAAACATTTTTTTTTTACATAACTTTAAATCTTTCAAAAGCATTTTTCTTAAAAAAATACTATTTTTTACTTTGTTGCTACAATTTTTTCTATTTTTCGTATTTTTGGTGTTTTTAAATTTGTTTACCTTTTCTACTAACAAGTAACAACATGCATTTTTAATTCCTTACTCCAAAGCCGAATATTAATATTGTTTCTGTACACCGATGTAGACAAATCACATTTGGGACGACTATGTAAGTTTGTCGGAGAAAAATGTTTGCTTGAGGCGTATAATTGCTTTAATTTTTAAAAATTTAATTTTGTCTCACATAATATTTGCCCGCGTCTTCGGCCGTATAATATTTTATATTACGCACATTAAGGGTGGTTGGTGGATCGAAATGAGTTTTAATGACTGGGAGGCGTAGATAAAACCTATGTTAATTAATACAGATTTCATTCGAATTCGTGTACGAATGTCATTAGGCCGGGTATACGAGGCCATAATACAGGGCAGGTTTATTTCGGGTGGTTATGACAGGAGGCCGCCGTTAAAACTCTACGGACAAGACTGCAGATACTTCGCCGTTGTAATGCATAATATTATTATTGTCTATATAGGTAGGAGGGACGTGTAGCAATAATAAAATGATATAGTAATACAATATGACAGTGGCGCCGTTCATCAGTAAGTAATCACGCAACTTATATATACGCTTATTATAATTAGGGCTGGGTTTTAATGACCTAAAAAATCACAAAAAAATACCATAAAAAAATATACACAATTAAAAATGTATTTAAGTATACTATTTGAAAATTAACACAATAGATGCAACGAAACATGTTGTAGAATTTTTTTTCTTCAGAAGACATGAAAACGGTGCGGTGGTGCGTATCTCATATTATACACGTTCATCACAATTTGACCACTTTGTGGTACGTGTCAACCAATATGCAGGTTTTTATTTTTGTAACAATTATTATAAAAATTTGAGTTAAAAATATTTGTTATGTACTTTAAGAATATTCTAAAAAAAATTGCCTAAAAAGACGAAACAATATGCCAGTAAGTGTAAAATTAAAACATAATTAAAATAATCAATAACACCTGAAGACATTTGCGACATTTTAAGACACGAGAAAAAAAAATGACATTGCATCAAAATCCTATCAATACATACGTTTATGCGAACCCGATTACTTATTTTCGGTTAGGTACCTCTAGGATATCTACGCATTTTTTCCGTCACGACCGAAATACACATCGATAGTTAAATATTATTTGTTGTAAGCGACAGATTTTCGGTGAGCGATATGAACAGTGCACAACTACAACAGCATTATAGACGTCAAATTTACATCGTCAATTCGTGGTTTCAATTTATTTTATACAAATCGTATGCTATAACTTATGATCGCGATTTAGATTAGCAGGTAAGAAATTGAATCGGTTAATTATTAACGAAACCGTCCGATAAAATTATGCAGTGTGCATTCAACGACTATACGTACGTTTTTCACAGTACACTCCAAAGTGTTGTCACTCTTAATAATTTTTTTGTCGGTAATTTTTGTTGAACACACTATAGGTGGTAAGTTCTAGAATAGGCATTGAAGAAATCAATTGAAAATAAATACTTTTTAACAATCGTACATTTGCACAAGACAATGTTATTTTGTTTTAAGAAAGTCTTTAAAACTAAATTAGTTAGGCACCATCAACAGTTTACAGTCTTACAAAATGT